TGTGCGCTTTGTGACTGTTCAGTGTTGTGTGTTAGTTTTATTATCTGGAACCAGATTTGCATAGGCTGACATGGACTGTGTGTTCATGCTCAATAATGTTCTACTCACTGTCCATTGTGCATGTAAATATGTGTAAACTACTGCCAATGGCCTGACTGAATGTGTGTGTGTGTGTGTGTGTGTGTGTGCGCAGGGTGGCAGGCATAGTCGTTCACCCAGCGTGGCCAGCCTCACAGTGGAAACAGCTCTGGGCAGCTTTGACTTCCTCAACACATCCGAATGGGAGGAGGAGGAGGACGAAGAGGAGAAGGGTGACAAGAGGAGTCGAAATATCAGGTAAGGGCAGACACACTGGAATAAAACTAGTGGTGCACACTTTACATCGAGAACAAATATTTTACACGCCATCACACTGTTTTAATGGTATATGATTTGTCATGAACACGTAGTGACACATTAAGTCTTCGTCTGTCTGTAACAGAAATGGAATCAATGTAACTGATCAAATTTATTACATACAAAAGAAGTGAGTACATCATCCATGTTCAATATCATGTAAATGGTTTAAATCTGTAACCTTACAGTAACTGCATCACTTCTAAGTTGACCAATACAGTATTTGCTCTTATGTAACTTTAGAAACTAAAAGTTTAGATTTACTATGTCAAAAGTATAGGCTACAGTAGGAACCAGTGGTGCTGTCAGAATTTTTTCATAGAAGAGGCCAAAGAGGGCCACGAAAAATCTTCAGGTAGGACACACAAACTAATAGCCGTAACTGAATTTCAGGAATTCCATGATGCTGTTGTGGAAAACAGGCTGGTTTTCAATTTGAAAGTTAAGAAATTGCATACTGATATACTTTGGTTTTTTGTTTTACAGTTAATGCCACTAATTATCTGATGTGCATAGGTTCATACAGGTAGTGTTAGCATTTTGGTTATTAGAGTCACCCCAGGAGAAGAGATTCTGTGGTGTATTTGAGGAGAAGACGTTTACTCATTGGCAAGATATCCATCCATCTATCCAACAACAGTCAGTTGAATGCAAAAAACACTGCGAAAATGGACAAAATGGCCATTGATCGAAATTGGACGGGC